CGCACGCACGCACGCACGCACGCAGTGCATAATTGTGATAGGTTCGCATGACTGGCTACAGAACCGGGCAATCGGGCGGGTCTCGAACAGCCGAGCAAGCGAGCGTGGTTCTGCCAAGATCACTTGGGTACTGTAGCCTGCTTCTAACAGCAATTGCACCTGCCCCGGTGCACATACCTGATGCAACGATGCGTGATGCACTGCGGGGTAGGGTGGATTGATCAACCACTCGCAGCTGCAGTGCACAATGTCGTGCACATGATGTGCGAGTGCGATGCAGGTTTTATCTCCGTGATTCTTGGCACCAGCTTGTTGGTGCATGTATGCTATTGATTGGGTTATGTGGGCATCACATGTACTTTCAGCGTCGTTTGTCCCAGGGTGTGCCAGCAAGTGAGAGGCGGCGATTGTGATTGTGGTCAGCCCCGACGCCTAGGTGCCCAAAAGGATTGATCACCCTAGTGCAAAGCCGCGAAAGGTGAAGACGGTGTCCGAGGCTGCAGCCTTTCGATTTTGTTTGGCTGTTTTGTGTCCTGGCGCGGCCTGCGGCGTTTCTCTATTGATTTTGCTGCAGGCTATGCGCCCATTTGCTTTGCATTGGCGCTGCCACGGCCGAGCACCAGGCCACTGTCACATCCTGATATCTGCGAGCGTCGCCCGTTAGGGACTCCGTGTGACTGGCTTCAGGCGGCAAGAGACAGAGCACGTGAGGTGTGTTTTTTCGATGCTTCGAAGACCAAAGGTGTGGAGCCGACCGCAGAGTCCTTGGAGGCAGGCGCAGCCTACGAACGAATGATGCTGGGATGCAGCGAGAAGCAGAGCTTCGCCCAGTGTCCACAGCTAATGCTAGAAGCTGCTAGAAGTGTATCGTGATGTACTGATGTACAACTGCTCAGGCTGCAGGCCGGGCTCAGCAGCCCTCTCTTCGACGAGCTTCGCACAGAGCGACTTTGCAGCTTCTGGCTCCACAGTGCAGATCGGATGATGCACACAGATATATCTGTATAGTAACAGCAGAGACAGAGCTGTGCGGGCAGTCCTTGCCGTGCAGATGTGCCGGATACATCTGTAGTTGATCCCCTGAGCTGTGTCTGCCAGATACTACTTGGCTCTTTCAGCCGCTCGTGCGGCAGAGCTTCGCCGCACGGATGTGGCTAAGACCTCAGGTCAACTCGCGACTTTGATGTCAGCATTCGTGAACCCTGGGACGATCTTGTTTGTGTATAGAATCGGCAGTTCACAGGGCACGTGAAGTAGCGGTTTCCTCCTGGATTCAGCTTGAGAGACTCAAATCATCTTCGAGACACGTCATCAGTTCCGGGTTTCGTAGTTTCTGCAGGTTTTCGCAACATGCATTTCTGCACGACGTGGTGGATTGGCAGCTGCTTTACAGGCGCGATCATGCATGCTGTGTCGCCACGCCATCTCGATCGAGCAAGACGAGAATTAAAGTATCATGATCTGGAAGCTTCTCATAGGTTCTCACGGGGCCACGTGGCATAGCAAAGAGCTAGGTTGGCTAGGTCTCGTGAAGACAACATAATCGGCACTGCTTGGCGTAAGAACACTGTCAGGCACCTGGAGCGCCAGAACTACTGCAGGTGGTGTTGGACGAGGCGAGGTGCTGGCAGCAGTCCGACCAGCTCGACATATCCGATATGCAGTGTGCCGAGGCTGGACAGGCCCCAGAACCAGAAGCACTTTGCCCCATGACACTGGCCGCTTGGATAGTTGTGCCTGGCAGTGTTGTGGTGTAGCACATGTAATGTGTGCAGGGACAAGTTCGTCGAACGACACATATGCCGCAGCTACTGCAGGCTTTGCGTCGCCCGACGCTTTTAGAGGAGGCAGCGGTGGCACAGGCGATCCTTGGGCACATGTGGTGCGAGGCACGTCGCCAGTGGGATGTGTTCAGCCAGGCGTCGGCGCCGCCGACCAGAACCCCGGCCGCTAGTCTGGCACCGGGTGCTGGCGACAAGCCGCCCAAGAATTTCCCGGAGTGGGGGCATCTCGTCGACGCCTACAACTGGGTGCTGCTCGGCGGGGAGCCTCGCGTCTCAAAGATCCTGTCCCAGCTGTACTGGGAGCACACCCGGGACAAGCTGTACATTCCCGTCGGGCTCGGCAAAATCCGATCCAAGCGCGCCTTCTCGGCGGAGAAGGTGTTAACCCCCTTGGCCGTGAGGCGCAGTGCCGGTGCGGCACAACACCAGTTCAAGATCGTCGAAGGCGGCATCGCCGTCGAGGAGGTGACTTGGAGATGGCATGGCGCATGGGATGGACCAGGGGTCCAGACGCGGGTGCAGAGCATCGTGCGGACGCTGGCGAAGGCGGTCAATAACCTCGACTTCGCCGTGAACGCCGCGGCAGATGAGCTGGTGAACTTGGCAGGAAAGCGAAGCGGAAGGAAGGCAGGGTGAGGGGCTGCCGGCGCAGGTGGAAGTGGGGAGCGGCAGGCGGGATGCGGAAAGCGTGCCCGGCTTCGCAGCCCTCCCTGGCGGAGGCAACAGACCCGGCGCGATGGGCTTCATACCACTCAAAAAGAAGGGTCTGTCCGTCGTTCCATTTCGGAATGCCCGTCGGGTGTCGAAATTGTCGTGTGCATGACACATGTAATGTGTGCAGGGACAAGTTCGTCGAACGACGCATATGCACAGCTACTGCAGGCTTTGCGTCGCTCGACGGTTTTCAGCTCCCACCCTCTCCTCCCATATTTGGTTTATTTCAGGTATGGGTCGTCGCTCGCTGGCAGTCGACGGGCCGGGATGCGGAAAGCGCCCCCGGCGCTGTGGCGACGGACCTGGCGCGATGCGCTTCATACCACTCAAACAGAAGGGTCTGTCCGTCGGCCCGTCGGGCGTCGAACTTGTCTTGCTTTGCGTCGTTTCGGACCGGGCTTCAACTTGGTGACGGTCTAGCTGGTCATAGTGAGTATCTCACATGGAATCTTGTGGTCTGCGCAAGGCGAAAAACGCCAAGAAGATTGTCATGGTCGGTGACCCCAAGCAGCACCCCAGCAAAATGTTGGTCGGTTCTAGTACTGTCCAGAGCATCGAGCTTTCATCTCCGCTTCCGCTTTAATTCAGCAGGCCGTCGCCTTTCTTGGGATGTATTCCCGGTGCAATGTGCATGATTCGTGGCAGTCGTGGCAGTTGCAGAAACGTGATGTTCGAGTGGACTCCTCCACAACTACAAAACTTATCATGAAAGCTTGTTGAGTCGGCTTCAGAAGCTTGTCAGGTCCAAGGAAAACTTTAGAAACCTGGGGGATGCAGCCGTGCCGGAAGGGCCCGGGCACAAGATCGACTCCGTTGCGTAAGGCCATGCCGAAGAAATACAGAAATTAATTACCAGACTTTGACCTTGGCTGACGAAAGTTGGTGATTTTTTTGTTTTTCCCTCATGTTACTTTACTGAAGCCCTACTACTGCCGTAGTCTTAACTGCTTCTTGGAACTCTAACCGAACGCTCCACGAGACGACAACAAGGGCTCCCTCCATGCGTTGTGCGGCCATGTCAATCGGAGCAGTAGAGCTTGCCCACTGCCTGTCAGGCCATACCGGAAGATGCAGTATCATAAGACAGTAGCGAGCCAGAAAGGCGTCGTAGCCCTAGCCCCTCATGAAATTTCATCAGGCAACAGATGAAATCCGCAAAGCGTTTGCAATTATCCGGATCCATGAGACAAGATCTGGTGATGTGAGCAAGCAGGCGATTTTCTGCCACAGGCACAAAATGTCCTGTGCGAGCAGCGGCACAGGAAGCAACTTGAGATTAAGAGGGGGATGCTGCATACCGATGACATTCTTGATATGGATCTTCTTTGTGCTGACCAAAGGCTTCGGCCCATCGTTGTCAGCCCACAGGCTGAGAGAATGGGTCTCAACATATCGTTGCTCGCCACTCGGCAGCACACATGCTGCACAAAATCTTCGTTTCTTTTCGCTGCAAAGGCGTCAAGAGGTTTGTGACTCGCCACTTTGTATAAGGAGCGCTTGAGCGACGCGCCTGCTGGTAAGCCTCGGCAAGATCCTGAGTGTGACTTCGACACCTTGCAGACTGCCTTGTCCTGCCTGATACTAGCCACTACTCATACAGCATACTTCGATTGTCGAAGGCTGACAATCGCGGATGCGTCTTGCGGACGAGTGAATCATCACGTCGGCACTGTCGGATTTTCTCATCAAGCGCAATGCAAACTCGTATGCCCAATGGGGGCAAGGACATGAGGCATGAAATGAAATGGACCCTGCACCTCGAAGGCATGTTGTGACGGCTCTCGTGTCAAGTTTTGGGTGCGAAGGCGCCCTATACAGATGGAATGGCCGATGTCATTCGCAATTCGCAAGAAGCAGCTCCCCAACATTCCACAAGACAATATCCCAAGCTTCCAGAACAAGCCACGTGGGGTTTCGACAGGCTGCATGCCTGCATTCGCGTGCGAAATGCTTAGAGTCATGCGTAGCCCAACCCAACCACGGTCTCCATGCTGCAAGCCACGGCTGGCAACTTGCTTTCGCATGGTTCGATGGCTGATGAGATTCATTGCATTGTAAGGTCTTGCTTGTTACATGCCCTTGTCTTCCTGCTCTTGATCCACAAGTGTTGGGGCTCTCCACAAGGCTGCTACACAAACGAAAAGCGGCGTAGCGCAGTGCTAGAAAACAGCCTGTGCAGCACGTGCTTCTGTAGGCAATGAATCTCGAAAAGAAAGCACAGAATAGCACGATGTTTGATTGCGGCAGCAAACTCGCTAAGCCGTAGCAGGGAGGCCGTTAGTTCGACACGAGCGTGTGGAAGCTTTAGCTTGAGACGAGAAGACCCTGCAGAACGAGGCTGTTGTCTCTGCAGTATCGAATGCACGAGGACAGACATGGTGAGTCGGCACTGTCGGTATATCTTTCTGAAGTGGTTCGCTAGTCATGCAGCAGCCGTTGCAGTGCAAATAGTTGTCAGTGCTGTCAGGAGTTGAATGAGTTTCCGGCAGCATACTTCTATAGCGGCCGTGTCAGAACAGACCCTTGGCTTCTTCAAGTAGAACCTACAGATGCCTACAGTATTCAGCAGACTTGCTAGCGGAACAAGGTTGTTTTCAGGGTGCTTAATCTTCCGAGCTCCCGGCACAAGTTATCGCCTGCTTGAGTCGCGGCTTGAAGCAGAGGGCGGCGAGGGAAGTTTGCAGGGAGCAGGGTCTCCGAGCAGTTTAAGGGAGCCACAGCCCGAAGCGCATGCCGGGTGGAATCCCATATGTGCGACTTAAACAGGGTGCTTCAGGGTCGTGATTCTCGCTGTGGTATGATGCAGGCGTGGCATTTGCCACAGCAAGGAAGCAATTGTCATCATGAAACGTTGCAGAACCTAGTGGGCCCTGGTTGCTCCGGTTTGCCTCACCTCCATGCGTGCTGAGTTGGTGCGACACTGTCGATGCAACTCTCAGGATGACGATTCGAGAGTTCAGGCTGCCTTGCGGCCAATTGTGGAGGCTGAAATTTTGCAAGTTTCCGGACTCAGGATCCTGCTGTTCTCGCTCGCCGGCCTGGACGCTTGGCACACCCGACACGGCCGCTTGGCTGCAAACTGCAGTGGACTTCTGTGTTCGAAGACGATTTCGTGGTTTACTGCCCGAGAAGTTTTTTGCAGGGATGTCATCTCTAGCTGGATCTTGGCCTCCGAAACTGCAGCTGGTTTTATTTTGGGTTGACGTCATACGCGAAAGCAGTTCTGTTCGAAAGAGGCGACTCAGTCATGTGTGGAACGCAACTCACCTGGTTCAGTTTACTGCACTCTGCAGGATCATACATGAAGCATGCATGGTACACGGAAGCGGAAGCTCCCAATAGGACGGCTCAGAAGGAACTGAAGCTGGTGCCTTGTTGAGCATGTTTCGAGGGACAGCACATGCCTTTCAGCATTACGGCGCATGATGCTGTCAAGACACCGTCTGATATCAAGAACAAGTCTTTCAGGGTAGCCATAGTTTCTCAGCGAAAGAGCACCACAGGCCGATGAACTCCAGACCGTTTCTTTTCTGGTCGTCTCACGGCGGCCCTTCGGAGCAGTGCCTCGGTTGAGACGCGGTAGTGCAGTTCACTTGCTTGGTGCATCAATCTTTCGGAAGATAAAAATGGTCCGTGTGCATTGACTACCTGGGTGGAACGCACCGCAGTATCCGTTCTATGTGGGGTTTGCAATCATTGCGGGAGATATTGGGGTTGTTCGCGGCAGCATTGACTTCCCTGGAAGAAAAAAATGGCCTGAGTCCATGAACGCTGTGCCAGGCGCTGGAATATGTGAAATTCAGAGAGCACGGCGGGATCGCAATCAAACAGATCTGTCCCGGAAAAGCTCGGCCAGGATTTCACAAGTTCGAAGCTCAGCTGCCAGCGCGAAGTCCCGCTTCAACCCGGCAGAGGCCGGCCTTGTTCGCGGGCGCTATCTCATCTTCAACTCTTGAGAGCCCACGATCCACGAGCCCTTGCGGTTCTACTAGCCATTGCTAGCCGCTAGCCCAAACGCCTCAGAGGAAATCAGCAGATCCCTTCCACAGGGTGCTTTCTGCTGCAGTTGGGAATGTTTTTGTCCATGCCTCATGCTGGGTCCCGGGTTTTTTCTTTTAAAAGGTTTGGCCAAAGTGGGGTTTGTAGAAGGTTTGGCTAGGCCCTTGGTTCGCTAGTCCGCTAGTCCCTTGGTCCCTGGTCCTTTGGTCCGCTGGTCCGCTGGTCCTCTGGTCCTCTGGTCTTTGGTTTCTTGGTTCTTGTGCCCCTTCCTCGTTTG